TCTGAGCTCAAGCAATCTGCCTGCCTTGCCCTCCCAAAATAGTGGGATTACAGGCATGAGACACTGCATGCAGCCTGCTTGTATATTTATTTATGCTGAAACAAAAAAAGTGTTTCTACCCCCCACTTAAAACACTGACACTATGGTCCCTCTACTACCATTTCCCATGTTCAGAGGACCCTGGGATTTCAATTCCTGATTCTCCCAGGTTCCTCCAGTACTGTATTTTCTATATCCCCTTTGTTGTTGTTGTTGTTGTTTATTTATTTACTTATTTTGAGACAGACTCTCACTTTGTCGCCCAGGCTGGAGCGCAGTGGTGCAATCTTGGCTCACTGCAACCTCTGCCTCCCAGGTTCAAGTGATTCTCCTGCCTCAGCCTCCTGAGTAGCTGGGAGTACAGTCGTGCACCACCATGCTCAGCTTATGTTTCTATTTTTAGTAGAGACAGGGTTTTGCCATGTTGGCCAGGCTGGTCTCCAACTCCTGGCCTCAAGTGATCAGCCCGCCCCGGCCTCCCAAAGTGCTGGGATTACAGGCGTGAGCCACCACAGCTGACCTCTACATCCCTTTGAATGTACATAACTAGACTCTTTGCCTGAGTCCCACCCATTTCTCTGATCTTCTTGTGTTCTGGGAAGTGACTAATCTTTGACCTCCTTCAATGGCTCATTGGAAAAATTCAACCTGATGGGTCCTCTTTACTCCCCTTCTTCTTTTTCAAGAGAATTTCCTATCTACCGTTCCCACCTCCTTACTAGTCATTTCACATTTTCTCTCCTTCTTTTACATTGTTAACTTAAAACACACACAGTCTTCTGGGCCACAAGACCCAACACCTTAAACCAGATGTCAAAGAAAGAAGCCACGGGAAGTAAACACTTTGCTTATCCACACTCTCTAAATAATACATGTTCAAATTCCAAATACAACATGTCTTAGGTTTTTTCTCACGGATTCCCTCTAAACTGCTCTCTTCATATAAAATGATAGCCACACTTCAAAACTGCAGCAACCAAAGCTTTCTCTATACTGACTTGCAGACAATAAAACTGCCAGGTGGTACCAAAAAAAAAAAAAAAAGGAAAGAAAGAAACCCCACAAAAACCTCATCATTAAATGGAATGTTGTTAAGAAATAGCTGTTTTATTTAACAGCTATTCATTTTTATTGAATAAACATTTTCTAGAATGCATTCTGTTAATTGACCTGACAGCATATGCTGTATATGGAGAAACTTCTAAACATTATGCTCTATGTAATATGCTTATCTGAAACAGCTCTCATTTGCAGCAATATGGAAATAAAATTCTGCTTTCTAAAATTCAAGACTTTTAAAATGCATTAATCCACACAGTTTATGAAATTGTTCTGGACATTTTAAAATCCTTTCTTTAAGAAAAAAAAAACTTTAGTAATTGCTAATAGTATTTGTTGCTGAGTTTCATAATGGAGTAGTGCACATCCAATACAACTTTTACAGACATAGAAATGGTGCAGGCATAATAGGAAATAAAAAGCAGTTATGGTATCGGGTAAAGAATTACTCAATGGATAAAAGAAAATGTTCAGAAACTCTATCAAATTATATTATTAGAAAACTATTGTTATAATAGTTTCATGGCCCAGACATAAATAGAGTTGAAACATTACAGAGATAATACATTTAGTTTTGAGGAAGGAAGACAGTTTGTGAGTGTGTTGGCAGGCTCTACCAGCTAATGGCAGCACCTCTCTTGGGCTGATGGCTTCTGAGTGATGAGTCTACCTTCCAGCCCAGAATTGCCAACTCCACTACCTAGAGGCATAAATGAGCAATGCTGCTGGTGGGAATGAGAGCAGGCTGGAGGGCTCCCTGTCTTCAATAGCAATTCATCTCCCAACAATTGTTGCCCTTGTGGGACTATCAGCCCAAGGTTACCAGATATTCTAATTTTTCAAAAGAAGATGGAAAAGCCAGATTTGCCCCATTTCTCTAGGTTGTCAACTAACTAATTTTTAGAAATGACAATGCCATTTGAACATAAATAAGTCAACCTACAAACAAAACTCACTATGGAACTAGTGCACTCCATAGTGAATCTTTGTCAGGGCCCTCCCATCCTGAAAAGGGCATTTGCTGTAATTTGTAATTATCTTTGATAATATGGAGCAAACATGGAAAGGTTTGCATTTATTTATTTTAAATCCTGGCACTAAGTAAAAACTCTCCCCATATTCTCAATGATGGTATTGGTGCAACTGAAAATCCTCCAACATTCAACATAATACACAGCATAATTAACTCGTTTTTATGCCAGGCCCTTTTAAGCCAGATCTTCGTGTTCCATGGACTTCTAACATATTTTACAGTTCTAATTCTCTTCCACTGTCCTACATTAATCAAAGCTGTAACCCCTGTTGTCTTTGTACTACGGAATCTGAATGTGCCCCTGGCGAGGAATGGGGGAAAAGTCAACAGGAATTAAATTTCAGTGCAACTGTTTACTCAACTGTGGCCTGCAGTTATTGAAATTTTATCCGTGGTTTTGTGTGACTACCGCAGTAATGAATTCAGCATGGCTGTGATTTTCTCACTGCTGGTATTCTCACTTCAAGTAAAAACCTGTAGAATAAAAATGATGAAAACAACCATAGTCCACTGTAGAATGCTCACACTTCTCCAAACTGTCTAATTGTTGCAGTTTTCAGTCCGGAAGAAAACTCTGATAACTCTAGTCCTGTAGAAATATTTTCAGTCCTGTAGTTTTTCTTATTTCATCTACAGATTTCCCTTTTCCCCAACAACCTGTTAAGAGTCTTATCATATACTTAGGGGAGTTGAACAGCTGTCAATGTTATATTTTAAAAGACCTCAAAAGGCTTTGCTAACCACAATACAGGGGGTTTTAGCCACAATGATAGACCCCACTGCTTTGTTTCTTCCCAAAATGTGTCAACGGCATACGGAGAAAAAACTGTCATAAAAACATTTAAAAACAGTATAAAAGTCTAATCATAAAACATTTCTTGACCTTTTTATCAATAACCAGTAACAATAAATTTTCCAAAGTGGTCACGGCCAAAGGAAGATGTGGATAAATACATTTGCAACTGATACTTTTTAACGAAGATGTTGGTGAAATAGGCTTTTATAATTTTATTCTATGTAGCCAATTTGTTATTGCTGTTGTGTGTGTGCACACATGCGTGTTTTGGGTTTATATGTAAACCACATGTTTTGATGGTTTATATGTAAAGTTTTTTGGAGATCCTGAATGATTTTTAGCTCCTCAAATAAAAATCAAAAGTTAATTTCCCATTTATTTAATTAATGTAATCTAAATACTAATTATTTAGTATCACCACATCAGTCAGTAGCCCCGTCTCAAGTGCTCAAGTGCTTCAGAAAGAAATAGTCAATCTTGACACTCGTCTGGTAAGGGCATAGAAGATGTCATTCAAAAACATTAACTATTTATTCTGAAAAAAATGGCTGAGAACATCACATGAACATGTACTAGCACAAATACACGGAGACCCTTTTACTATCTACTGCGCGGTTTTGCTAACAACCTCACTGGTTGGAATTTGGCCATCTGCACTAACTTAAATGCACAAAGTTTATACACAACGAACATCACAAATTCCGTCTGAAGTGAGCTCGTGGTGCAGGCACAAATGGGTTTGGGCTGCCAATGAAAGAAAGATCAAATCACTTGCAGGAAGTCCTCTGAATTAAGACTTTTGCTGGTCTGTTACTTTTCCTTTCTTTCTCTTTGTTGCATCTTTCTCCCAACAGGTTCCACAGTCTCATGTTGGTTCCACCACCTCGTAAGGAGCTAACAACCGAATCATTCCTTACTCAACTCTTTGCAAGGAGAAAATAAACATGGTTTAGAGCTTGTCTCAAAGTTGCATCCCAAACATAAGCTTAGCTTCTCTGACATAGATTGCAAGAAAATGGTTTGAGAAGCACTTTGTCCCTATCTTCTTCCTCCCCACAGAAGTTACTGTAGCTTTCAGAAAGGCCCAAAGATACTTCATTCTTTTTAATTCACCTGTTTCTGAGCGGCATCATAACTATGTTTTAAATAAGTAAATCGAGAACAAAACAGGTCATAAACCATCTATTATCATTAACAAATCCTAATAATATTTCCTGATTCCGAGACAGGCTAGAAAACCAAAGCCAGTCTTCAAGCAAATGCCGTTTACTTATTTGAATTTTTATCAACACTTTGACAACAAAACACCATTTCTTGGGTCGCCTGTACCATCCGGAAATATTTTACCAGTCACTCACAGGTACCCAGTTCCATACCTGTAAAAAGTATAACTAACAGGAATGAGTATACCCCAACTTACGTACATTTTGGGGAGGCACCAATAAGAGATAACTCAAAGCAGTAAGACTTAGCCACAAACCCACTGCTGCATGAATACAGGGAACATATGTAAATACCCTAAACCCCCAAATCCTACAGGTAGAGGAAAGCAGCTTCCTACAGTGATGCCCGTGTTCTACATGTTTTGGCTGTTATCTCAGCATTTCTGCCTGTATTTCTATATATTTATTTCAACTCTCCTTACTCACCTACTCTTTTTCTCTCTTTTATTCCTTAGCTCTTATTTCCTTCTTCACAGGCTTAAGCCTGTTTTTCGTTTAATTTTTATTTTTGCATGAAAGCAGTGGGAACCATTTCTCCAAAGAATAATTTTATTCAAAATAGGGAAAGGTTAGGCTGACACAGGTCCACTCAATCTTCGTCTCAGCAACTGTTCCCCACAAGGGGATCTGAAGGACTTTCCAACTCCCAAGGGCTTGAAAATTAGTCTCTTAAGCCAACTGCTGGGACCCCTAGAGGGCCGATGGTTTATGAGATGCCACTGACAGAATGACAGATTGGCAGACAGGTGAGCACAAAACGCTGATCGCGAGATCATCATTAAACGTAAAATTCAGCGGTAAAATTCGCACCCACCAGCCTCCACCTCCCAGGACTCCAAAGCCCCGGTACCTGTTGCTGCTGCTGCTGGGCGTGGGCGAGGTCAGCTGCCCCGATGTCCACCGCTGGCGTCTCTCCGTTGGACCGCCCCTCCCGAAGACCGCCGCACTCTAATAAGTGGTTGCTGCCGCCCGACCCATTCTGGATGGCTGAACCGTTACTTTTTGTCTCAGTCCCAGATTCTTGCATCATGACTCAAAAACCTGATACAAGGATTTCCAAGATGGGGGGGCGGGTGGGGGGGGGGAGGAAAAAAAAAAGCAGCTGTTAAAACAGTTGTTGTGCATAAGGAGAAGGGCCTTGGTTTAAATGTTGCCAAAATCTGTAAACAGTTGTCATTTTCTTTCACTCAACTTATCCCCTCATTAGCGGGTCAGGTCCCTAGTTTTGGGTCTGAAACTGTCATTCCCAATTCAAGTTTCAGTAGTATTGTTTTAAATATACATACATACATATATGTAATATATAATATAATATTTATTTATTTATTTATTTATTTTACCCTTAGAAAAACTAATATTTGTAGGTAAACCTAGAATTCAACATTACACTTTTCTTTTTTCTTTTTTTTTTGAGATGGAGTCTCGCTCTGTCGCCCAGGCTGGAGTGCACTGGTGCAATCTCGGCTCACTGCAACCTCCACCTCCCGGGTTCACGACATTCTCCTGCCTCAGCCTCTGAGTACCTAGGATTACAGGTGCCCGCCACCATGCCCGGCTAATTTTTTGTGTATTTTTAGTAAAGAAAAGGATTTCACCATGTTGGTCAGGTTGGTCTTGAATTCCTGACCTCGTGATCCACCCGCCTCGGCCTCCCAAAGTACTGGGATTGCAGCCACTGCGCCCGGCCCAAGATTAAATTTTTCTTCTATCTGGTTCCTTTGCTCAAAAACCAGCAAGTCATCCTATAGAGCATATTAGGTATAAACATTAAATTTTAACATGTGCAGGCACTATTTGTTGATATGACACTTTTTTTTGGAGGCAGAGCCTTGCTCTGTCACCCAGGCTGAAGTGCAGTGGCACTATCTCTGCTCACTGCCTCCGCCTCCCGGGCTCAAGCAATTCTCCTGCCTCAGCCTTCCAAGTAGCTGGGATTACAGGTGCCCACCACCACACCCGGCTAATTTTTGTATTTTTAGTAGAGACAGGGTTTCATCATATTGGCCAGGCTGGTTTTGAACTCGTGACCTCAGGTGATGCACACGCCTCGGCCTCCCAAAGTGCTGGGATTACAGGCCTTGTGAGCCATGGCACCTAGCCGAAGGTACTAAAAGTCTAATAGAAAAAAAAATATATAGGCCTGGGGGCGGTGGCTCACGCCTATAATCCCAGCACTTTCGGAGGATGAGGCAGGTGGAACACTTGGGATCAGGAGTTCGAGACCAGTGTGGCCAACATGGTGAAACCCTGTCTCTACTAAAAGTACAAAAAAGGAAAAGAAAAAATAAATTAGCCAGTCATGGTGACAGACACCCGTAATCCCAGCTACTCGGAAGGCTGAGGCATGAGAACTGATTGAACCCAGGGGGTGGAGGTTGCAGTGAGCTGAGATCACGCCATTGTACTCCAGCCTAGGTGACAGGGCGAGACTCCATCTCAAAACAAAAGAAAAGAAAAAGAAAAAAAAATATGGCGCAAAATGAGTAGCTAGAAAATATAACTTAGGGCCGGGCTCACGGCTGTAATCCCAGGACTTTGGGAGGCCAAGGCGGGCGGATCAGCAGGTCAGGACTTCAAGACCAGCCTGGCCAATATGGTGAAACCCTGCCTCTACTAGAAATACAAAAATTAGCTGGGCATGGTGGTGTGTGCCTGTAATCCCAGCTACTCAGGAGGCTAAGGCAGGAAAATTGCTTGAACCGGGACCCGGGAGGCGGAGGTTGCAGTGAGCCGAGATCATGCCACTGCACTCCAGCCTGGGCTACAGAGCGAGACTCCGTCTCAAAGAAAAAAAAAAAAAAAGAGAAAATATCACTTAGTTACGTGTAAATACATTTCACATTCACTCTTACTACTCTCTGGGAACAAAACCATTATCCCAGAGAGCCAATTCAGCCCTTGGCTGAGAAAAGATGTCCAAAGATGACGAAAGACAGATAACATTTGCTAATACCAACTGCTACCATCTACCAATCACCAGTGTTGGGTCACGCAAGCCCTAATGCAGGTGATTTACACACATTCTCCAATTCAGTGCTGATGACGATTGTTACCCCCAGTTTGCGGATGAGAAAACTAAGCCTCCACAAGTTATTTAATTTGTCCACTACATGTCACAGCCAGTAATAGTGGAATCAGGATTTGAACCAGTTCAGTTAAGTCAAAGCTCTTAACCACAATGTGTATTTTTAAAGTTGAGGTTCAGTGGGGGCAAAACAATGAAAAAGGCAGGGTCACACTCCAAGTTCACAGACCAAGATTTGGAAAAGGAAAAGCAAAAGTCATTAAAGGAAGTAAAGAATTCAAACATGAAAGCTGAGAAATGCCTGAATAATTAAGACTTTAATGTGAAATACCAATCCCAGATTAAAGGGCAGAAAATTTTTACGCAAATGTGTTCCAATTGTGTAAGGACATATGTACAACCAATGCCACAGATTTCTGCCCCATACATGAAATGTGACAACAGGGAAATTTCAATCTTTGGGTATCTTTAGAGGACATTGTTTTCTTGCTAGAAATTGGATGAAGTCTGTTTTCTGCAGACTTACACAAAAACCAAATGGAAAAATTAAAAGCAGAAAAATTCACATCTTTCTTCATTTCCTTTCACTGCATAGCATGATCCAACTTGATACAGATTTCATAAACCCAAAAGACGTATATATTTTTTAAGTTGATCCAATTCTAAAGTGGATTGAGAATGGCATTTTTCACTAGCAGGTGGGAAACAAACTGAGAAGTAACAGCTGATTCACTCTCGTTCCTTGATTTTTATTATTATTTTTTCATTCTCATGTCTTCAGATCAGACTTTCTAATAATTATAGTCCTTTAGAAATTACAGTTATATTCTTACCACAGAGTAAAGCATTTTTCAAAAATAACCAAAATCTTCCCTAAGATACAAGAATCAGGTAATGAGATAATCTGTGATAGCAAGAGTGCCTTGTTCATCACCAAAAAAGAAATGAATCTGTGAAATCTAGGTACTTTTCCCTGGGCATTTCAGTCTCTCTTCCACAAACTTGCCCCTTTGTACAGAACTAAAGGAAAAGAGCCGGGCGCGGTGGCTCATGCCTGTAATCCCAGCACTTTGGGAGGCCAAGGCAGGCAGATCACCTGAGGTCAGGAGTTCGAGACCAGCCTGGCCAACATGGTGAAACCATTCTCTACTAAAAATACAAAGAAATTAGCCGGGCGTGGTGGCACATGCCTGTAATACCAGCTACTTGGGAGGCTGAGGCAGGAGAATTGCTTGAACCCGGGAGGCAGAGGTTGCAGTGAGCAGAGAGCATGCAACAGAACGAGGCTCTGTCTCAAAAAAGGGGTGGGGGGAGAGAAAAAAAGGATTATAGGAAAAGGCACAGTGTTAGGTATTTAAGCAAGAGAGCATTTGTTTTAGAGTAGGTAGCAAGGAAATCCATCTAATTATTAGGATATATCTCAAACATATGTAAAGAAAAAAATCTATAGAATATACATACACACACGCACACATATATATGTGTACATGTATGTATGTATGTATTTTTCCCTTTCTGGGAATACCTCCCCATACCAGGGACTTGATCCCCAAAAGACAACAGCATTGCACATATATAAACTCTACCCCTGCTCTCAGAATGAGGCATATTTAGCCAAATATCCTGTCCTGATGGAAGAGAGCTGCAGGTAGAATGCTGCTTTCAGACTATGTGACCATCGGGATCCCAGGCCTGAGAGCAGGTGTCTAAGACACGGGTCCTGCTTTTGTTTCCTTGGTGAGACACCATTCTGGTGGGTGGAGTAAGAACAGTCTCCAATACACAATTTGATGAGAAGGCCCTGTTTTTGCTCCATGCAGTTCCAAAGCAGACTGCCAAGTCCTCCAGTACAAGTTTTGCAGGCATCAAGCCAAGCAGCTTGGCTTGTGAATCAGGTTTGTGAGAGTGCAGGCTTTGGGACCAAAATTGCATAAAGGATTATTTTGGTCTGAGGATGTCCTTAATTAGTCAAGTGCTAACAGTAGTATGTAGGTTGGAAGATTTAAAATTTCCCATAATCTCCCACACCAATCAGGAGAAAACAGCTTTTTGAAAAGCACATGTGAAAAAAATAGGAGTGTCAATGTCTAAGAACATTTCTAACAGTGTCTGGGCCAGCAATATTTCTATCAAACGTTCCAAGTCATTTAATAAGCCTTTATATCTGTATCACACTTCACAAATTGCAAAAGCCCTCTGATGTGCTTTTCAAACTCGTAACAAGGCTAGGAGGGAGATAAGGCAGGTAAATGTTATCCCCATTTCACAGATAAGAAAACTAAAGCTCAATCGGTTAAGGGATAGATGTAGCCATAACTATTTTGTTTCAGACATGAACCTGTCCATTCAATAAATGATTAAGAATCTCTAGTTTGTAAAGTCCTGTGCTAGGTAGTGGATAAGGAAATTAATGAAAAGAAAACTAAGGAAATTCCAGAAGGGCAACAATGAGAGTGCAGGTGGACAAAGAAAAGCATTAAAATACAATGATATAAGGCATCGGCACTCTTTTGCAAACAACTGTCTTTTTCTTTGAATTGCCACTATTAGAGTCATCTGAAATCAAGTCAATATATATAGGAGAGGAATCTATCTTATCTATCAGGGACGTTGCACCCTCTTTTCTTCAAGGAAGCTTGTCCCAGGCACCCAGTTTGCCTAACTTCTGCTTCTCTCTGGGGGAATAACTAACCCTGTAACTAACCAACTGCCTTGCTCCATGACATACTGACAGCAGGAAACACTGTATAATCATACAAAGTGCCTGAATATGAAGGTATGGTCACACCATACCCAGAAACAAGTCCTTCCTCCAGAAACAACACCAAACGGAGTCTGCCTTCCTGTATGGCACCTCCAGATGAACTGACCCTGTTTAAATCACGTGATCCATTTAATCTAACCCTACAAAGGTCAATGCTGCAGTTGCATAGATGTCAAAAAGCCTAAAGAAGCCAAAATGATCTACTTCTCATCTTGCTTCGAAACATTACAGAGCTACTGATTTCAAAGGTTC